TTTGGTGAAAGTGGCATAAAATGGCACCTGTGTTGAAGGTGGTGCGGCATGGTGCCAGAAACCATGATTTGCAAATGGCAGTATCTGGGATCACATCTGCACTGAGCGCAACGAAGCGTACCAAACGTAGGTCAACTAACATCACAAAAATGCTCGTGCACACTCAGTTAATGCTGCCTTATCCCAATCCTTCAAAAGTGAGGTATTGTGTGTGTGTGTGTGTGTGAGAGAGAGAGAGAGAGAGAGAGCAATGCACTTTAAGTAATAGCAATAACTGAGTCAGAGTATCAGATGGAAAAACCCTGCAAATAAAGGGCATGCTGGTTATCCACATACCACAACCATTACAGTACTTGGAAAGCAAGGCCTAGAATAGCGACTCGATGAACAACTGGGCCGCCAGTCTAGTTAATCAGGTTGGATATGTTTGTCTGGCAGCCTCCGACAAAGAGAGCAAACTACACAGCTTTGTTTCTTATTGCTTTGTGCCACACTCTGAGGAGACCAGCACCCTAACCCTTAAGTCAATGAGGAAAACTGTTTCCACTTGGGGAAAAAAATTCAGTGGTTAAGACAGGGGTCTTCAAACTTGGCCCTTTGATGACTTGTGGACTTCAACTCCCAGAATTCCTGAGCCACCTGTGCTGTGCTGGCTCAGGAATTCTGGGAGTTGAAGTCCCCAAGTCATCAAAGGGCCAAGTTTGAAGACCCCTGGATTATGGCATCAGGCTGGAAACTGGGAGACTGGGATCCCAAAGATGCTTTTTTTCATGAGGCAACTGGACTTTCTTGTTTTTCTCTGAAGACATTTCGCTTCTCATCCAAGAAGCTTCTTCAGAACTTCTTCTCGGACCAGAAGCAAAACATCTTCAGAGAAAAACAAGGAAGTCCAGTTGCCTCGTGAAAAAAGCATCTTTGGGATAACTATGACCTGGATGACTCAGAATCTCCATAGACACTGGGAGACTGGGATATCTCCCAGTTTCACCTTAGGCATGCAACAACTAGGTGACGTTGGGCCAGCTTCTCTCAGAAGATGGCAAGGACCAAACAGCTCCCCAAAACATTGGCAAGAATTACAGACTCCTGTAGCTGGTTGAACAACACCACCAGCATGCAGTTTCTACAGATGGCTGGCTTAGCACACTGTAGAAACTTGGCAACTGGGATGTCTAAATTATTTATGGCTTTGTGGTGTGTGTGTGAACCGCAAGTTACTTGTTAGAATTTGCAAAGCCAGCCTATGAATGAACTCTCAGAAGAGAATATCCCCAATTCAAAACATACCTTTATTTTAATATTAGAAGGGGAAAGTTTATACCATTCTTTCTGGGGTGCAATTTCCTCTTTTCAACCACAAGAGGAAAAGCAACAATAATCGTAATAATCGGGGAATGTCCATGAGGAGGATTTAAAAGTCCAAGCAACATCTGTGGCTATGTGCTGTCTCCTTTTCTTTCATTGCATCATCCATACAGTGCAGGCAAAAGAAGAAGAGCTTGGATCAAACCGTCACTGTCCTCTCTTTTGACTTTTTTTGTTTTGAACTGCCCCACCTCACCATATTTTCCTTCTCTATTCCTCTACCTCCTTTCTGTTACTTCTCCTCTTCAGCTCCACCAGCATCTTGTGACTGACCAAGCATGGTCAGGAGGAAGGTTTATCTGGGTTTTCCCCAATGTTATTATTCTGATTTCCCTTCTCTTCTTCTGTCCCGTCGCCCAGTTTCTTTCATTTTTTGGAAACACTGCTAGTGTAAGAGTACTGGAAAATCCCACGCTGGCTGAAAAAAGCTTTGGACGAGGACAATGGGCTTGTTCTTCCTATGTGGATTGTAAAAACAAATCCTTCTGGGTTTGTTGAACACAAATTGCAGTCCATGGCTTCTGACTTTCATTTTTGTACAGAACAGGGAAAGGCAAACCTCGATGTGAGTCACACCTGGCATTGCTATGGGAAAGTGTTACCAGTGGAAAAACGCAGGATGCAACATTTCACAGCTAGAGTAAAAATTGGTTCTCACACTAATTAAGTCTAATTATTCAGTCATGGGCTGAATAATCCACAGATGCAAATTGTCTCTCCTTTGCAGAGGTTTAGAACATCTCTTTTCCCCAAAAATGCCATAGTTATTTGGCTTCAGGGGCCTTCTTTGAACACTCTCCTGAGAGTTAGTTTTGATTTACAACCTGAACAAAACCTGCACATTGGGTCCATAAATCATAACAGTCTTAAAAATGGGTTGGTGACATGACCCATTGTATGTTGTTTTTTGCAGTGGTTGTTAAGTGAACACCACAGCTATGCAGTACACTACAAATATCCATAAATGCAGCTGTGTTGTTAAGCATCTGAAGTGTTGTCATAAGATTATGTTGGGGATTGCCAGAACTGCAGATAGCAACAGCACTTAGACTTAGGCATCGCTTCACAGTGCTTCTCAGCCCTCTCTAAGCGGTTTACAGAGTCAGCATAATTACCCCCCAACAATCTGGGTCCTCATTTGACCCACCTTGGAAGGACGGAAGGCTGAGTCAACCGGTCAGGATCGAACTGCTGACAGTGAGCAGTGAGTTAGCCTTCAATACTGCATTCTAACCGCTGCATATTATGGAAGGAAGGAAGGAAGGAAAGAAGGAAGGAAGGAAGGAAGGAAGGAAGGAAGGAAGGAAGGAAGGAAGGAAGGAAGGAAGGAAGGAAGGAAGGAAATAGCAATAGCACCTAGACTTATACACCACTTCACAGTACTTTACAGCCCTTTCCAAGCAGTTTACAGAGTCGGCATAATTGCCCCCAACAATCTGGGTCCTCATTTGACCAACCTCAGGATGGAAGGCTGAGTCAACCCTGAGCTAGTCAGGGTCGAACTGCCAAACTGCTGGCAGCCGGCAGTCAGCAGAAGTAGTCTGCAGTGCTGTGTTCTAACCTCTACACTACCAGAATTCTTGGTAGATGGCAGTAGATACTTTATACTGATCTTCACCAGTGAGTCATTGGGAGTAAATGCATTGCTTCTCAAGTCTTACAAAGGATCTTGCTCAAGATTCTTAGAAGGATCAGGATGAACTGTGTATCAAATGGGAAAGTGCAGGAATATTTACTATATTTACCCTTTTACTTTCTGTTGTTTAGAAAATAGTCTCTGCCTAATTTGTTAGCTTCTTCTTTTGTGCAATGTTTAGATTATGATTTGAAACGTTGGGAAGGAGTCTTGAAAATGCCTATTTTTTTTTAAAAAAAGAAGTCAATAAATCAATTGTTTACTGAGTCCTTGGTCCCCCCCAAAACGCGTGTGGCCTCTGTTTATAAGAGAAGGACTAGGATGACGATATAGCAATCTTCCAATATTTGAGGGGGTCATCACAGAGATGAGGAGGTCAACCTGTCTATGGAGATTCTCAGTCATCGGGTCATGGTTGTCCCAAAGGAGCTTTTTTAGGGTCAACCTATTCTTCAAAGCACCTGAAGGTAGGACAAAAAGTAGAGAGATATCCAACCTAGAACTAAGGAGAACTTTCCTTTCAATGAGAACAATCAGTGGAATGGCTTGCCTCTGGAAGTTGCGGGTCTACATCACTGGAGTTTTTAATAAGGGATTGGACAGCCATTTGTCCAGAATGATGTAGGGCAGTGGTTCTCAACCTTTTTAATGCCGCGACCCCCAACCGGTCGTAAGTTGAGGACTACTCAACCGGTCGTAAGTCGAGGACTACTCAACTGGTGCAGCACCGTTTGCAGAATGGGACTTTTGGTGGGCTCAGCAGGGCAGAGACAGCCTGGAAAATTCCTATTGGCTTTTGAAAGCCAATAGAATTAGACTTTATTCAAGAGAGTCTATTCTATTGGCTTTCAAAAGCCAATAGAATAAAAGGGAGTAGCACAGCTAAGGAAAAGGGGAAAAAAATGACGGACTGTGTTGTTTGGCGACCCCCATGAAATGGTCGTTCAACCCCAAATGGGGTCCCGACCCACAGGTTGAGAACCACTGATGTAGGATCTCCTGCTTGGGCTGTGGGTTGGACTACTAGAATACCTCAACAGTCCCTTCCAACTCTGTTACTCTGTATTTTATATTTTAACATATTTTTTAAAAAAAAAAAAGAGAGAGAGAATGCTGGAATATTGAGTGCTGTGTACAGCACAGCATGAAAACGAAAATATTACTGTTATACCTGCAGTGGTGATGAGCAGGACCTATAAAAATAGCACAAGATAAAATACATTATATGGCATACATTTAAAACAGTTCATCTTACCATCCTGCACGTCATAGTCTTGTTTTTTTGTTTTTTGTTTTTGGAATGGAGGGGATTTCAAATTCAGAATAAAATGGATCTGGTCCAAAGCAACTGACTTCTATTTATATTTTTAAAATGACCTCAGCTGATATGGGGAATTGGGACAGGGACTTTCCCGGCAATGCTAAATGCTTTGCCAAAATAGTTTACCATTTAATTCACTGCAGCTCTTAGCCAACTGTTTTTCAATAGACGAACTTCTCGAAGACCATTCTTAGCTAATTTTAGAATACAATGAAAACCTTTGAAAGGGGGAAAAAAGAGAGAAGCAGGAAAGGGTGTATACCATATTATAACAGAAAACATAGAAGGAAGACCTCTTAATACTCTAGTTCGTGCAGACAAACCACACCTTTCTTTAGCCATCTAAAATATCAAATTTTTCCAGTAATTTTTGGAAGGTGAGTGTTTTATTTGGAAACTTGGAAGGAGAACCAAATTCACTTTAAAGAGCTAATGAATTGTTCAGAAATAGTTTGATGTGATTGGGAACGAGGATTCCCCTGGATCGAATGACAGGCATTCTCATATCTCCACGAGATTCTAAATATTTTTCTCCAAATTCTGGATGAAACAAAAATTGGATCTCACGTAGAAAAGTTAACAAAAACACACACACCCTTTTTGTTGTTGCTGGAGCAGCAAAAATGTCGGCAGATTCACCCTGTGGAGCTTAATGGAAGAATGGTTAAAGAGCCTTACGTGATCCAACTCCTTCAGTGGGTCCCTCTTAATGAACTGAAGCAGATTCCCAAGCAGGGGCAGCCTCCGTGGTCCAGGGGGAAAACCTGCGGGACGTTGGTTCTTCCAGAAATAGAGGAAGAGGATGAAAAGAACAATCAGCCAGCCGAAAACAACCATGTTGAAACAAGAAAGTCTCATTCTGGCTTTCTTTTTTCTGGCTGTTGTACTCGGCAAACCAGCCACAGGTTAAATATTTAAATCAGGAGGAAGGGCACAAGGTGTTCAGATGCCAGCTGTATTTCATAAGCTGCACTTTGGCAAGCAGAAAAGTAATATCAGGAACATCAGGAACATTCCTGTGATCCCGGCAGCTGCGTCCAGGGAATCAGAGGAGGAGGAGGAGGGGGTCTGATGAGTTACAAAACTTACAAAGTGAGGAAGAACCTGGCCCCTCCACTCGTGATCAAGCTGTAAGCCAGCTGTGCTGGGAGGATGAGTCAAGACTCGGAGGAAGCACACCTGGAAGATCTCAGAGACACAGGTCACACGAGTAAATCAGAGGGAGGCAATGGGAGAAGGAAGAAGCAGTGAGAAGCCCTGCCTTGGGGGCTGCTTAACAAAAAGGGAATGTGTGGGCAGGGCTGATTGCTGGAGGTAACCATTTGCAAAGAACTTCAGTGTCAAGGGATCATGGTCTGTTTGTTTTGCCTGTGAATTATTTCTTGTTTTGACTCATGCTCTGTTTTGCTTTTGAACAAACTATCCGTTGGAAAAATGTTCTGCTGCTTTTGTTTTGTGGGGAAATGATCAGAACTGTATATCAAATAAAAAGGGTTGGTTTGTCCAGCCTACTGTTAAAAGAGGGGTTGCCTTGTGAAGTAACAAGGATGTAAGTAGGCTGGGACAGAACAAACATCAGGAAAAAATGTCAAAATACAGCACTACATACTTGTCTAAATGTCAGAAAACATTTCACCTCTGAATCTGGAGAACACTGTCCCACAAATCACCAAGCAAAAGGCAACACCGTATATTCAAAGTTGTAGTAGCTAGTATCAAATGCAATTAAGTTTTTGAGTTTGGCTAATCTAGAGAAAAGAAGGACTAGGGGTGACATGATAGCAGTATTCCAATATTTGAGGGGCTGCCCCAAAGAGGAGGAGGACAATTTGTTTTCCAAAGCACCAGAGGGCAGGACAAAAAGAATGGGTGGAAACTAATCAAGGAGAGAAGCAACCTGAATTAAGGAGAAACTTCCTAACAGTGAGAACAATTCTGGAACAGCTTCCCTTCAGAAACCTTCATCACTGGAGATTTTTTAAGAAGAGACTGGATAGGTTCTGGAATTCCTCTCCCTTTGACTGAAAGAAAGGTGGAGTTCTCTTAGATTCTGCTTCCATAATAATGGAGACCTTTTGGCCACATATAATGCAAGAAGGTACATGTTCAGTTTTAAAAATTTAGAAGCTGAAAAACAGTTGGAACAAAATCAACCATCGTCATCTCTGTCTGGACCTCTAACCACTGAAAGACAGATTGTAAACCCAACATTTAGGTGTGTAGAGACTCTGCCTATGGAAAAGGGACTCTGCTCATTGAACACAATTGAACACAATAAGATCTGTAGATTCTTGGACACCATCAGATCTCCTCGGATACAAGGTAAAGGATTTTAGTGCTGGCCTTGAGCAGGACCTAAGAGACACGAACCTCTGACATAGCCTAGGAAAGTAGAATGTGTGAGAACACCCAGGATCTGCCTTGCCTGTCCTTCAAAAGGGATAGGGAAGCATTTGGAGGGGCTGTAAATTCTCCAAAATTAAGTAACTTTCCTGCAATGTGATGGTTTCTGTCTTTTGACCTGGCCTTGCCTGTTGCGTTGAGGAGAAGGGGCCAAGGCAGATGGCATAAGAGAGCACTTTATTTATGTTTTAAAACATGATCTTGAGGTGAATTTGAAATTATCTTGAATCAGTTGCTTTGCAGTTCCTCGCTTTGATCTACACACTTGGCTAGCGACATTTCAGCAACACCTTAAACCGAGATGAGAATTGTGTAACCTCAAAGTGTGGTGTAAAATCTGGAGCTTGTGATTTATCTGGCCACAATAACTGGAAGTTCCTGAGAATGCTGGTGAAGAAGAGGAAGAGCTCCATCCGAGCCAGGTTTTCCCCTAAGCAGACTCTCGGTCCTGAAAGCAAAAGAGAAAGAGAGCAGCCATTCGGACAATGAACTTATCCAACCCCTCGATCCAGTTGTTTCTCCCTCAAAATGATCCCAAATCTCATGAGACTTCCAACGTTGATGAGATTACTTGTCTTCTTTCCTTCTCAATTTTTTTTTTTTTTACCATGTATGCTTCTGTACGGCACACCTTATGTTAATGAGAAGGATATTTCCAAGCCGATCTTCAACTTGACTCAACTTTTCTTGACAGGATCCACATTAAAGCTTAGGTTTGTTGTTTATTGTTCTTTCTGGGATGAAATGATCAAAGACTTCCTTGCTCAAAATAGTGAAAATTTTCCATGTCTGCAAGTCTTTCAATCGGATCCCTCTCTTTGCAGAAGAGGTAGTCCTCACTTGGGAACTACCATGTTTCTTCTTATTTTTTTTTTTGCCTCCAAAAGAGCCACCAGGTCTTATTTTGGGGGTAGGCTTTGGCACTGACAGTCCCACCCAGCCGGTCCACTTCTTCTGAGGCTGAAGTTTTGCAGCTGCATTCGGGCCTTCATTTTGCAGTCAGGCTTTTCCATAGCTTGGTGCTCAGCTGCTGAGGTCTTGCAGAACCGAGACACTGATTGAATCCATAGCTCAGTTCTTGGCTGAAGAGGCCTTCTGGAAAGCCCCGTAACTGAGAAATGCAGGCCTGGCTGCAAAAGAGGCCTCAGAGGAAGAAGTGGGCCGGCAAGGAGAGGCTTGGCTGCAAGGCGAGTGGGTGCAGGGTGGTGGGGCAGCTCTACACCCCCATCCCCACCCTAGCTTGATTTTAGGTATGTGCCTCGCCCCCAAACTAGGACTTGTTTTTGAGGTAGGGCTAATATTAGGCCCACCCCCCAAAATCAAACTAGGGCTTGTTGTTGGTGTAGTAGGTCTTACTTTCGGGGAAACATGGTAGCAACTCAGTCGTGTGTTTATGATCTCATTTCAGTTTTCCCTTTCTTTACAGATTTGAGAAAGTCATTAATGCAAGGACTGCCAACAAATTCAGTGTTGTAATTCTGAACGGTTGCTAAATGAGGACCATCTCTAAAAACTATTAGAGAAAACCTCCTCTGAGCATCTTATCTGGGAGAATCTGAGAGAGGTACTAAAAGGATTGTCTGAAGGTGGTTCAGGAATTCATCATGTCCTTTGCTTCATCTTGCCCAACCATCTCCAAAGAGAGTTTCACACAGAAAGCCTCCCACAAGGCTTTCACACACACAAGAGATGATGCCCCAAGAGTGAATTCTATGATCACAAGGAAATGTTTTTCAGCTGTTCTGCAATGACTGCATTCAATATGGTTATGCATCTTTCTTTTTAGCTTCATTTCCCTATGGGACACTAAAGTATAATCATAGCTCAGGAACTGACTTCCATAAATCTCTAAAGAAAGGTTTGGTAGCTTGAACTTTATTGCATGGTGTAAGAATTGTCACTAAGAGTGTGCATAACATACACAGAGAAGGAGACAATCAGAAAGACACACACACACAGAGAGAGAGAGAGAGAGAGAGAGAGAGAGAGAGAGAGAGAGAGAGAGTTAGTTATTCACCTGCTGAAAATGCCAAAAAGGCTTCCGGCTTCACAAACTCTCCCTCTTCATTCAGGAAGTTGGAGGGGTTGAACTCATTGGGGAACTTCCACTGAGATTCATCATGATGGGCAGACTGGATGTTGACAATAACCATGGTGTCCTGCACAAGCCAAGATAGGTAAGTCATGTTGATGAAAGTCATCATTGTCAGACATGGCTCTGGATGAGCTTTCAGATAGACCTCATTGAGATGTGGTTGAAGAACAGCAGATGAAGGTGAAAAGCAATAAGGGTGAACAAGTAGCGCTGAACTCAGAAGTAGCAAAAAGAGGAACATGGAACCAAGTTGAAGAAAGAAAGGAAGAAAGAAAGAAAGAAAGAAAGAAAGAAAGAAAGAAAGGAAGGAAGGAAGGAAAGAAGGAAGGAAGGAAAAAGAAAGAAACCAAACATCTTATTTTCTCAGGTCAGGAAGACACAGGTGATCACACGCAGATTCATCAACACTCCATTTCAGAAGAAACAATGAAACATTTCTGCTTTTACCTTTGGAATTTTATATCCAAAAATCTGTACATTTTCAATGGCGGCGTGAGGTAGTCCAAGAGGAGCAACGTTTGAAATGCGTTGGATTTCATGAATGACAGCATTTGTGTAGGGCAGCTTTTTTCGGTCTTCAACCTTCAAGGTTGCCTTGTTTCCCACAACTGTGTCTATTTCCTTCCAGCATTTCTCTGAGGAACAAATAGCTTAGTTACCTTCTGGAAAACATTTCACTGACTTTGAGTAGACAAGTCTGGTACAGTTCCCAACCAGGTGCCCACCAAAAGTGATGCGACTGAACGTATTACCATTACTAGTCAAAAACACTTTTTCACAATTCTGTACCTTGAACTTCTGGAAAGGCCACCAAATAGAGCAATCCCCACTGTAATGTTCCTGCTGTTGTCTCTGTTCCAGCCACAAATAAGTCAGACAGTATGGTTTGTAGTTGTCCTTCTTCAAAGCTTGAAACTTTTCTCTCTGGCTTTTATTAGTTAAGACAAAAAATGTTGCTAAAATCAAATGGAGAAAGTATCTTTTCCCAGTCATCTATCCTTTTTAATACAGTTGATAACATCCATCTAAAAATATTCTGAGAAATATGACTAAAGCATGAAGTTGGGAAAGGAAGAACAAGCAACTTCTTCCAGTGACAACCCATCATAATAGGAAAGTTGAGGGAGAGGGTGAGGCAAGGGGGGGTGTCTTTCTTCTCAGTCCTGCTTTTGCTACAACCTGACGGAAAGATCAAATCTACCTTCTGCATTTCTTCTAAATACGCATCGGTGAAACCCCAAGATTCTCCTAGAATTAAGGTCACCTTGGTTGGTTGGGGCTGCACAACATGCAAAGCATAGGGACATAGCTACATTCTCACAACGTGTCCCCCAGGGAGAAAGAGGACTAGGCCCAACATCTAGAAAAGTCCCTGTATCGATGTTTTTGTTATATTCTCGGGACCCATAATGTCAGGAAAACAATTCCAAGATGAAAGCATGGAAATTCAACCATCAGAGATTGAGGAAATTTACCTTCTGTATTTCTTCTAAATACGCATCAGTGAAATCTCGAGGTTCTCCTGGAGTCAAGGTCGCCCTGTGTTCTTCCACCTCTTTTTTTATAAAAACTTCTACTTCCTTTGCAGTTATTAGTATTGTCTGGTGAGGCAGGGGGAGATGTCTCACCAAAGGCACCTCATTGTAAAGCTGCCAGCAAATGAAAGAAAAAGTGAACTGAAGGAGTATATATTGAGCAGGAAAAACATCTTCTTTGTTGTTATTCTCAGTTTGATAGGCTGTGAAATATCCCAGTAGGCTAAATTTCAGTACAGAAAATGTCCTAATTAAATGGATAACTGCCGGGGGTCAACCAAATCACTCAGAAAGAGGTTTTACCCAGTTGTCCTTGCACTGATGATATGATTTTCTAATTCCTAGGAAAGCAAGAATTTGGAATAGATTATTTATAGCTTGGGGTTGAATTGTGGGTTCCTTGGTGCTGTTGTGGTCCGTCAGCTGTCAGCAGAGCTAGCAGCAGAGTCGGATGACGAGGAGGATGGGAGGGGGAGCCTGGGTCAACTTCGGAACTTTTGGAAGGCTCTGATGCCCACAGTAAAAAAATGACAATAAAGGTTATCTATCCATCTGTCTGTCTGTCTATCTATCTGTCTGTCTGTCTGTCCGTCCGTCCGTCCGTCCGTCCGTCCGTCCGTCCATCCATCCATCCATCCATCCATCCATCCATCCATCCATCCATCTATCTATCTATCTATCTATCTATCTATCTATCTATCTATCTATCTATCTATCTATCTATCTATCTAAAGCCTATGAGATATGGACATGTACATTCCCATTAATTATGAATTCATTTTGCATTCTTGTTAAGCATACCAAGGCCCAGGGGCTCACAGTCATTTTGGAACTGTGATGTATCATATGCAGGAGATTTCTGAGGAAGCTGTTGTCATATTCAAAACGTTTCCCAAATAATATAGTAGAAATTATGTTGGTGACCGCAGTGTCCATAAATTCATAAGGATCAAAAGGCACCCCTGTGAAATAAAATAAAATAAAATGAAATAGACCTTTAGGAATTCTTCCTCCTCATGGTTCTTTAGGGGAGTCACAATTTGTGGTCCCTTAAACAACTTTACTGGTTGCAGAGGCATCATCAGAAGAATACAAGGTAGATCAATTGTAGATTCCAGATTTCTGATCAGCTCACAATGAACTTCATGACAAAAGAATCAGGAAGTCAAATGGGAGCTGCTATTTTCAATCTTTTTCTAACAAAAACTTTCTGGGATGACAATTCCCCAAACCTCCCATCCTTTCTCGGGAAAGCTTACTTATGTTCTCTTTGAACGCTTGAATCAAACATGTGGCCTCTTCCAGGATCTTTGCTTCCATTGATTTTTTGCCCACTCCAAAGTTTCTGAGAAGCATCCCGGAAAACCTTTTTTGTTCCTTCCATACTTCACCATATCTTAAGGTCAATAAACCTGAGAAAGCATCCAACAGTAATTCGTTTGTATTTATCAGTAGTTACTAATTGATTTAGTTGTTTTTAAAGTAAAGATACATTTTCAGAAGTGATCACATAAGTAAACGAAGAAAGAATTCCTGAAGTTATCCAATCAATCTTCAATTAATAAAAGATAACCATGCCCAGAAAACTACATTGAGTAACTGTTTTATGGTATAAGAAAGAAGTCTGATTTCTTTCAGCTAAATAACAAAATCTTTACTGTATTGTTATTCATAAAGGTTACAATAGAAAAAAAGGACTAATTCTAACATTTCAAGACATTCTTCTTTCTTTTACTGAAAATGTTTGGTCTGTACTCCAGATTGCAAAGGAAAAGGGACATTTACCCATACCAGAATGGGTAACTTGGATTCTAATAGGCTTTTGGAAGAAGAATAAAATAGAAATAATAGAATCGGAAATCATATTCAATTACCTTTTTTGTTAGTGATGAAGTCTATTATTGGAATATCTGCCCTTCCAGCAAATTCTATGCCTTTCATCACAAGGATCTCCTTTGCTGGAGAAAACCCATGAGTGAAGACCACAGGTGTTCTTCCAAAATAAAGACTGAAGACAGGACCATATTTTTTTCCTAGCTGAAATGAAGTAGCCAGGAGTGTTAGCATAAAAGTATTAGGAAATTAGTTGGGACCAATTACTGCAATGTTGCAACGTTCAAACTCTATCCCCCAAAGTATTTGGTCAACGGTCCTCCTGATTTATGCAAAGGTATAACTGTAAACATTCTATCTGCAAAAGTTTAAGTACGTATAAGTTTTACTAGAATAGGTGCGATGTCTCATGGTTGCCACTTACAACTTCTTGCTGATTTCTCCCATTTACTTTGCTTCTGAGAAGCTGGCAGTGAAGGTCATAAATGGGAAACACATGGCTGCAGGACACAGTGACTGTCATAAGGGCTGGCTGGGGAACGCCCAAATGGTAATCTCATTGTCAGCCTCCAGTTTGAGTGTCCAAATAAAGTCCAGGATTTCTTTCATTTCTGAAGATCTTACTCTTTTATTGAATACAAGACATGGTACAGGCAAAGGAAAACTAACTCTAAAATCCCAAGACAATTAACCAAAGCATATAACAATGACATTGCCAGCTCAACCTCCCAGATGTCCACCTAGTTCTCGTTCTTTTGAGAACCTTCTGCTATCTGCTTCACACCGGTTAGAATGTCCTTGAAAAGTTTCCATACATCTTTGTATCAATAAACGTTTGCAGAATTAGAGAGGTTTCATTTCTCTAACTAACCCATTTGAACTCTCATCTCCCACCCCCCCTTACTCTAAAGACAAGATAAAAACAATAAGCCATGTAGGTGTCAAGTTTTCATTCTTGACACACGATGCAACTTCAAGGTCCGGTTCATTCAGCAAAGTTGTCATATCTTTGGACGGTCACCAAACAAACCTTCATGAACCAAAAACTATCTGAAATAGATTTTTCATCTACCAGTGCTTCCTTCTTTTGTTTTATAGTTTTTCAAAATATAAATGGAACTCAGCTGAATCAAAAACTCCTCATTCATAACTTAAACATCCTTTAGCCCACTAGAGCACCAAATTTCTCCAGTAGTTTCTGGAAGATAGGTATTTCATTTGGAAATATTTGAAGGGAACCAAATTCACCTCAAAGAGCTAATGAAATCTTTCAAAAGATATTGGATTCAATTAGGATTCCTCTGCCTCAAATGGTAGGTATTTTCACATCTCCAAAACACCGTCCAAATTTTGTGGCCAGCAAAAATTGGATCTCATGTGGAAAAGTTAATAGAGACAGCCATCCCTGTTCAGTTACTTCTGCAGCAGCAAAATGTCAGCAGATTCACCCTGTGGAATTTAATACGAGAGCAGAAAAGGAGATTTACCTGATCCAACTCCTTCAGTGGGTCCCTCTTACTGAACTGAAGCAGATTCCCAAGCAGGGGAAGCTTCCATGATCCAGGGGGAAAACCTGCGGGACGTTGGTTGTTCCAAAAACAGAGGAACAGGAGGGAAAGAAAAATCAGCCAGACGAGAATAATCATGTTGAATCAGGAAAGTCTCACTCTGGCTTTCTTTTTTCAGGCTATTGTACTTGGCAAGCCAGCCACGAGTTAAATATTTGAAATCAGGATGAAGGTGTTGAAATGCCAGATTTTATAAGCTGCACTTTGTCAAGCAGAAAATTAATATCAGGAACATCAGGAAGGAAAAAAAAATATCATAACGCAGCACTACATACTTGTCTAAATGTCAGAAAGTATTCCACCTCTGAATCTGGAGAACACTGTCCCACAATTCACTGAGCAAAAGACCACACTCTATATTCAAATGTGTAGTAGCTAGTGTCAGTGCTGCTAATATTGGATATTATTGCTTTGACAAGATATGCAGAACTGTCTGGTATTTTTAGAGTTAATTTAGATGAGGCTGGGAGGGGAGGAGTGGAAGTGAATCTTTGCCCTTCAGGCTAATTGAAAAATGTGATTTATGATCACAAAATGGGGGAGGGCAATAGCCTGGAATGTTATGTGCAAGGAAAGAAAATTCAGATCTTGTCATTCCTCCATGCCCTGCGGATACTCTGTCACACAAAGAATAAAGACTTTTTAGGATAAACAATGCCTGGAATTCTTTGAAGTGTTTCATTAGTCGGAACCTTGACAGTTAGTATCAAATGAAATTAAGTTTTTGGGTTTGGCTAATCTAGAGAAAAGAAGGACTAGGAATGACATGATAGCAGTATTCCAATATTTGAGGGGCTGCCCCAAAGAGGAGGGGGTCAATTTGTTTTCCAAAGCACCAGAGGGCAGGACAAAAAGAATGGGTGGAAACTAATCAAGGAGAGAAGCAACCTGAATTAAGGAGAAACTTCCTAACAGTGAGAACAATTCTGGAACAGCTTCCCTTCAGAAATCTTCATCACTGGAGATTTTTAAGAAGAGACTGGATAGGTTCTGGAATTCCTCTCCCTTTGACTGAAAGAAAGGTGGAGTTCTCTTAGATTCTGCTTCCATAATAATGGAGACCTTTTGGCCACATATAATGCAAGAAGGTACATGTTCAGTTTTAAAAATTTAGAAGCTGAGAAACAGTTGGAACAAAATCAACCATCGTCATCTCTGTCTGGACCTCTAACCACTGAAAGACAGACTGTAAACCCAACATTTAGGTGTGTAGAGATTCTGCTGGCCTTGAGCAGGACCTAAAAGACACGAACCTCTGACATAGCCTAGGAAAGTAGAATGTGTGAGAACACCCAGGATCTGCCTTGCCTGTCCTTCAAAAGGGATAGGGAAGCATTTGGAGGGGCTGTAAATTCTCCAGAATTAAGTAACTTTCCTGCAATGTTATGGTTTCTGTCTTTTGACCTGGCCTTCCCTGTTGGGTTGAGGAGAAGGGGCCAAGGCAGATGGCATAAGAGAGCACTTTATTTATGTTTTAAAACATGATCTTGAGGTGAATTTGAAGTAGAGACAGTCTATAGATGTTGAGAGAATGAGGTTGTCTTGAATCAGTTGCGTTGCAAATCCTCGCTTTGATCTACACACTTGGCTGGTGACATTTCAGCAATACCTTAAATCGAGATGAGAATTGTGTAACCTCAAAGTGTGGTGTAAACTCTGGAGCTTGTGATTTATTTGGCCATGATAATTGGAAGTTCCTGAGAATGCTGGTGAAGAAGAGGAAAAGCTCCATCCAAGCCAGGTTTTCCCCTAAGCAGACTCTCGGTCCTGAAAGCAGATGTCAGCAGATTCTCCCTGTGGAGTTTAATATGACAGCAGAAAAGGAGCTTTACCTGATCAAGGCCCTTCAGAAGGTCCCTCTTACTGAACTGAAGCAGATTCCCAAGCAGGGGCAGCCTCTGTGGTCCAGGGGGAAAAACTGCGGGACATTGGTTCTTCCAGAAACAGAGGAACAGAAGGGAAAGAACGATCAGCCAGCCGAGAATACCATGTCGGTAGCAGAAAAAATCTCATTCTGTTTCCTACCCTCCTGCTAATTCCCCGGCAAATTAGCTAAATATTAAATCTTTGAAGTTAGGATAAAAGGCACATGGTGTTCAGAAATCAGATTTCATAGGCTGCATTTTGGCAAGCAGAAAATTAACATCAAGAACCTCAGGGGAAAAAAGGTCAAAATATAGCATTACATCTAAAATGCCAGAAAAATTTCATCCATAAATCTGGAGAAGATGGCTCTGCAATTAACCAACAAAATGCCCCATTATTGAAAGAAAAATAAACCAAGGTGTCAGGGCCCACTTCAATACCTCATCCTAAGAAAGTAGAACTTGTGGAAGCAGTTTCTTCTAAAAGGATCTTTTATTAGGAGAAGTTGATAGCAGGTATAATAGACAGGATCTGAGGGTTTCCAGCTCAGATGATAGGTTAAAGTGTCCCAATCAAAACCCCACCCCATAATTCATCCGGTCAGTTCAGACAGGCCAATCCCCAGGTATTAAGTCTGTTGTGGGGAAAAAGGAAATAACATCAGGCCGTCTCCGGGCTGCAGTGATGTTTTGTCGGCTTTTCGCACCTTCCCTTGTGAATGCGGAGATAAATGAGTTGCTGGAGGTTGCATTCCTTTTGTCTCCCCTGCTTTACTAGCTGACAACATGGGGAGAGAAAGTTCGCAGAAGAAATATGCAGAAAGAGCAAAGTGTTGCATTGTAGCAATAGAGGAAGTCAAGGCAATAACCTGCAAGCATTCCCCCCTCCCCTCCAGAAGTATGGCAGAACCCAGGAAGAGAGTCAGCTGGGGTCAGGATGAAAGAAGAAAGGGACTGGATTAGGAATAAAGAAGGGGACCATTAAGATATGGGTTCTGACATCCTGCCTTCCTTAAAAAGAGAGAGAGATCCACCTGTGGAGAGATAGAGAGAAATGCATACAGGTTAATCGGAATCCATTCGTTTTGGGAAGCTGGGAGATGTTTCCATGCTACTAGGTATTGAGTTGAGCCATGGTATTTCCTGGAATCGAGGATTTATTTGATTTGAAAGACAGTGTGTAAATCTAACTCTTAGGTGTGTGGAGATACAGCATCCAGCAAAAGGACTGGATTCATTCTTCTCTAGTCCAAGGTAGAAGAATTTGACTCTGGCGTTGAGAAGGAGATAAAAGTCGTGAACCTGAGAAAGCAGAAAGTTTAGGAACAATACTTTGTTGTCCCTCAAAAGAGGCCATGAAGAGTTTGGAGAGACTTTCAAGAGCCTGTAAATACATCTTCCAAAATAAAGTAGCATTCCTGAAATCCCAGTGGGGTCTGCTTCTTGGCCTGGGCTTGCTTGTGTGGTTGACTGGCAAAGACCAAGGCAGATGGGTCCCCAGAAGCCACCTCACCTGAATACCTCCCCTACCCTGCACAGGCACCTCACCTGCGTACCTCCCCCACCCTGTACAGGCCCCAGATTCTCTTGCACGGAGGAGCCTTCTGATAAACAAGCTATGGACTCTGCTCTTTTCCATTCTTCATTCCGGTAAACTTGACGATAGAGAGAAGAGACCTGGAAAATGAAATTCATCTCCATCATAAACAAGACTGATCCTCCACTGGAAAATATGGCATAAGATAGCACTTTCTTTATGTTTCAAAAAATGATTTGGTGGTGAATTTGAAGTAGAGAAGGCTGGCTGTTGGAGAGAATGGGATGGCCTTGAATCGGTTGCCTTGCAGATCCTCACTTCAATCTAGGCATTTGGCTGGCGAAATTTCAGCAACACCTTAAAGCGAGATGGGGATTGTGTAATCCCAAAGTGTGGTGTAAAATCTGGAGCTTGAGATTTATTTGGCCATGATAACTGCAAGTTCCTGAGAATGCTGGTGAAAAAGAGGAAGAGCTCTATCCGAGCCAGGTTTTCTCCTAAGCAGACTCTCGACCCTGGAAAGGCAAAGTGGAGGAGAAAGAGAGAAGCCAGTCAGACAGATGAAGGCCGGCAACCAACTGCAACTGCCGGACCTGTTTGTTTCTCTACAATATGACCCCAAATCTCATGAGATTTCCAATGTTGGTAACAGTTTTTTGCATTCTTTCTTTCTCTAAATGGTCTTCTAGGCCTCTATGCAGCATGCCTCATGTTGCTTAGACTTAAAAAAGAGGTTGAGACTTTGGAAACAGTGTGGAATAGAGCTAGAAACATGATTAGGGCCTGGAGGCTAAAACATGTGAAGAAAGCATAGCAGGAATTGGGAATGTCTAGTCTAGAGAAAAGAAGCACTAGGGTGGACATGATAGCAGTGTCCCAAAATTTGAGGAGGTGCCACAAAGAAGGGGGGGTCAGCCTCTTCTCCAAAGCACCTGAAGGGCAGGACAAGAAGCAATGGATGGAAACTAATCAAGGAGAGAAGCAACCTAGAACTAAGGAAAATTATCCTGACAGTGAGAACAATTAACCAGTGGAACAGGTTGGCTTCAGAAGGTGTGGATGCTCCAAAACTGGAAGTTTTTAAGAAGAGATTGGACAACCACTTGTTTGGAATGTTACAGGATCTCCTTCTTGAGCACACCTTTTCTGGTCCAGGACCAGGTGTTGATTACACGATTAAAGGATCAACATGATTACCTGAGTTTGTTTTTACCCCCATTTTCCTGTAGGGTGCTGAACTATAAGCTGAGCCCAAGAGCTGACATCCACAAGTCTCTAAAGAAAGGTTTCCACTAAAAGGTTTTTTGTGTGTGTGTGTGTGTGTGTGTGTGTGTGTGTTTGTATTTGTGTTTGTGTGTGTGTGTGTGTGTGTGAGAGAGAGAGAGAGAGAGAGAGGGAGAGAGACAGAGACATAGAGAAGAATAATTGACCTGCTGAAAATGCCATGAAGGCTTCCAGCTTCACAAACTCTCCCTCTTCATTCAGGAAGTTGGAAGGGTTGAACTCATTGGGGAACTTCCAATGCAATTCATCATGATGGGCAGACTGGATATTGACAAAAACCATGGTGTCCTGCACAAGCCAAGACAAGCACACAACAAAGATATTGAACTATAAGCCCACGATGCTCCCATAAAATGAGCTTCAAAAGGAAGAACCCTCCCCCCAATGATCTCAATCTCTTGCTTTCTCTTGCTCTTACACACAAACACAAATGCCTCAGATGAGGAAGACACAGATGGACACTTACCGATTCACCAACACATCACTACACATAAAACAATTAAAGGTTTCTGGTTTGTTTGTTGTTTACCTTGGGAATTTTATATCCAAAAAGCTGCACATCTTTAATGGGGGCGTGAGGTAGTGCAAGAGGAACAACATTTGAAATGCGTTGGATTTCATGAATGACGGCATTTGTGTAGGGCAACTTTCCTCTGTCTTCGTACTTCAAGATTGCCTTGTTCCCCACAACCGTATCTATTTCCTTCCAGCATTTCTCTGAGGAACAAATAGCTTAGTTACCTTCTGGAAATCATTTCACTGACTTTAAGTAGACAAATGGTTTGTTTTCCAAGCAGGTGCCCACCAGAAGAGACGAGAGTGAAGCCATGATAATTCAAGACCCTTCCTCATTTTACATAATAAGTGAAGTTGTTACTACCTGTATTTCCACAAAAATAAAACAGGTCTTATATTAATTTTTGCTCCAAAAGACACTTTAGGGCTTATTTTCCAGTTAAGTCTTATTTTCAGGGAAATACAGTA